TACTAAGAATTCCGAACATAAACTCACTCCACTCTCGAAACGTTCGGGTGGAGGGTGGACTCGAGGGAACGACATCGGTGATAAAATTTGATTCACAAACATCTGCGGTATTAACAGAAACATTTATGTTGTTCATCACTACTTGTGAAAGGACGTCCTGTGCCTTGTCCATATTTATTCGCTGTCTTTATCGCTCTCACTCGAACCATAGGTGGGATGACCTACTTGAATACCTCGCTGTCAAGATCGACTTCCTGAACATCAGTTACCCCGCGAGGTAATTCTCCTCGGTGATTTCAATGCCCACAATGTGCTTTCGTTGGGCTCAAACAAGACTGATGCGGCAGGTTATGCAGTTGACCCGTTCACTATTACCCAGGGACTGACCTACCTGGTGACGAGCCCTACTTTTTCCCCCGCATTTCGTCACATGCCAGTAGCCTGCTGGATCTCTTTCTGTCCACGCATCCTATCCCTTACAGCACTGCAGATATAAAAATAAGACACAGAGTGATATCGTAGCTCAATGGCAGTGGGTCTTTCTGGACTCTGGCCAGACACATTGGAAGGAACTTCTCACAGAGTCGCCTTCCACAACTTAAGTGTCAGGATGGAACGACAAAGCTTCTGGTCCGGACTTGACTCCTGGCGCTGTATTGAGGTGTGCAGCGGAGCTTGCTCCAGTTCTTTCGCGTCTCCTCCAGATATCTTACAAATCCGGCACCTTCCCAGAAAACTGGAAATTTGCTCATGTCCACCCTATTCCAAACAAAAGGATCTAAGACCGACCCTCACAGCTACAGGCCTACAGCTTTGCTTTCTGTTATAAGTAAGGTGATGGACAGGTGATAAATAGCGAGCTTCTGGTCTACCTAGAACGTCACGGCTTGATTAGCGTCAGGCAGTATGGTTTAGAGCACAGGGAACCTCCTACCTTACGTCACGCAATTGTGGAGTAAACTCCTCTTATGGTGATACCCATGTCGTTGCTCTTGAAATCATGAAAGCGTTCGATCAGATGTGGCATCCTGGCTTCCTACGCAAACTTGGGTGGCTGACTTTCTCCCTAGCCGCAAGATATCCATCGTAACTGACGGATTCTCCTTTTCATCTCACAGCGTCAACTCTGGTGTTTCCCAGGGATCAGTTTTGGCTCCGACACTGACCCTCTTAGTTATTAACGACCTCATTTCCTGTACGATCAACCCAATCTAAAGCTTTGCTGATGACAGCACTCTGCATACAGGAATTCAGAGCGACAAGCCGATTTCCTCTCTGACGAGAGACCTGAAGGTTAGCACTGCTTGGGGACGCAATAATCTTGTACAGTTTAATGTCTCCAAATCACAGTACTGACTTGATCTGGCACGAACACATCTTGTCAATAGCGGCAGCTGCTGCGTAAAAGCTAGGCTATTTGTTTAGGGCCAAGTAGTACTTTTCTCCGCATGACCTTCACAATATACATGGCCCGGATAAGACCTAGCCTCGAGTATTCTCACACGTTTGGGGTGCTGCCGCCCCGACTGAATCATCTATACTCGAAGCTGTCCAGACGAGGACTATCTGATAACTCTTCTCTAACAGACAGTCTCGGAAGACTTTTGCACTGGCGGGCCGTTGGCGATCTAGCTCTCTTCTACCGCTACACCAATGAACTTTACCCCTCAGAGCCTTCCTCCATGATACCACCGCGCGATGCTCCTGCTAGACAGACTCGCCTGACTTCGGTCTCAGATCCTAACCATGTCGAACTTCGTACACACAGAACCGCCCTTTTGTCGCGAAGGTGTCGAGATTGTGGGACAATCTACAAGAGGAAGCAGAAAACGTATTGGGGACAAGCAACTTCAATTTCTAGAGCATTTGTTCAACAGAAGAGAATAATCAGACTGATATTCAACATTCGTAGAAGAGAATCCTGCAGAGATATCTTCAGAAGTAAAAACATCATGACTCTACCAAGCATTCATATTTATAAGTGCGCCCTTTTCGCACATACAAACAAAACAAAATTTATACAGAACAGAAACATCAACACACATTATAATACAAGGGCAGGTGAGAGTCTGAGTATTCCAAAACACACACTGACGCTGTTCGAAAAGTCACCGGAATACACCTGTATCAGAATATATAACAAAACTTTCAGCTAACCTCAGGAATGTCAGTAGTATTCCTAGTTTTAAATGTAAACTACGCAAATTATTAGTTGAAAAATGTTTCTATTCTTTGTCTGAATACCTCGCACTGTGATATATTTTTTAAGCTTTTTTTATATGTGAATGTCTGTACGCATTAAGTTGTCCCTGTTTGTACTTTGTAAATACTTATGTTTGTTTCGTTTTTATTTTTAATTATGTGTACTATGTACCTCCCTCTTAGGACGAGTCTTATGTCATTTTTTATGATCTACAAGACAATAAATGTATCTATCTATCTATCTATTAAATTTTTTTTTGGGATCCTCATAGCAGTCGCGGTTTCCTGGTATTTAGGCTTCTGCCTACGCGGCTGCTTCGGTGTAGAAAAAAAGTCGTCGAATACCACAGTCACTATACCTTGTATGTCGACTGGCCTACTAAAAGCACGTATGATTAGCATCAGTGTCTATGCCACCCTTTACGGGTAGCAGTAGAATCCGATAAAATATAATACCAACCTGCGTTTCAGTTGCACATCCCACGACGTCCGGTATAGCAAAAGGTGATGGTATCGTGTGAGGTATATTGCAAAGCTACGCCATCAAGGTACTACCCGCCGTCGTTACTGGCTATCAGCCCAGCACTAAAAATTTGCATATATATTAGCAGAAGTACGAATAGCTAGAGAACAAGTTGCGAACCTAATTAATCACAATAGTCACAGATCTAATTATGTGGTAATTGCGAAGTAGAATTTAACATAAAATTTATTTGGGTAATTTTACTTAACAACCGCAGAAGATTATTTTAATTATCGAGCACCGTAATTAAAAATAATCAGTTTTATTTCGAACTTTGAATTTATTACAATATAATTAATATCAATCCGACCAAGTGGATATTATTAAGGCCCGAGGCTTTATAATTTTCAGGCGAAGAGGTGTGTCCGTCTCATATACATAACTTACAAACATAATAAATTTATAATAACGAAAAGTACGCGCCGTTTCAGAACGTATCATTAATTCGTAAGTATACGTTATCATGAGTGCTTGTTTTCAGGACTGAATGTTAATTAACATTTTCAGATTTAATTAGTAATTCCGCTTGATTCTCCTTTTGTGCAACTTCAAGTATGACAAACAATGATTAACGGCGATGCGCTGTATTCATTATACATATCGTCTCAAATCGTATTTACGAAAAATTGATACTTGACATTAAAGTATACCTATACTATGTACCCGTATATGTGACTGTGATCTTGATGAAGACAGCTTATATTTTATGCGCAAGCATATGTAAACGGGGTTTGATCAAGGAACTGAGTGGTCTGTCCTCACTATGCAAATCAAAACATGTCAGATAACGAAAGTTTTTGAAGGACTGAAAGATATACGACACACCCCTGTAGATTGAGTTTCTGAATCTGACAGTATTTTGGCAGTACGGCTGCTTCTTGCACACTTGGTTCCTGGAACGTCAGACTTAGGTCCAATTTGGATGCTTTGAACGTCCCACTGGGGTCATTCCAATCATCCCTCCTCGAAGCGCCCTTGACAAAGCATTTTTGTGCTTTGTTCGCTCAACGTTGTCAGACTTACCGTTTTGAAAGTTCTTTCTAGGTAACTTAAAGTAGCTTGGTTTGGTTGATTGTTTTGAAACTGCCTACGATGTAATTATAGTTTGTCACCTCTGAGCAGTGATGGGCGCATTGTATACATCATGTATAATACACCATTGTATACGCGTATACAATTATGAATATATACGTATCGATATTCACGTATACAGTGTATACAATAGCAAATCATAGTTCAACTACTTGCATACAGTTAAAAGTACGACTTGCTATTAATTTTCAGTAGTAGAACACATTTTTAAAACGTACATGAACATATTTTTGACCATAGGCCACTTCCCAGAGGTAATTTTTGATAATGACCAGTTAGAATGATTTAGATTTTGTCTAGCAAGGAATGCAAGGAAATCTCAATTCTCAATATACGAGCGCAGGTCAATCAGTCCGTGACTGTTTGAATTAATCATTTCATTTCTCAATACACTTCGTCCAACGTTTCTTCAATTTGTTTATCCCTTCCGTTAAATAAGATTTATCGAGGTTCTCAAAATAGGTATTAATTTGTGAAATGATTACATCGTTGGAGTCAAATTCTCTTCCCGCCAAGCCAGTTCTTTAGGTTTGGAAACAAAATTAGTCACTTTGCACACACGTGTGCACCCTTGGATTTTCTTGCTGGAAAATGTAGCATTTTTTTTCAAATCCTCGTTGAATCCGCCCAATAAGTTGTTGTAACATTCGCCATTGGTTGTTGTTCCCTTTTGTAGGTAATCAAAGTCGATTCGCCCGTAGAAGACCAATGTTTTGACGCTGCATGGTCTCTGGACTCCACGGTTCGTCCACGGCTACGAAAAAGCGCAAAATCTCGTCCCTATTGCGGTTGAACAACTCCAAAACACTCCTTCGAAGTTTTCGTTCAATTGTGTTTGTGAAAAAACTAAGCCATGTGATAGGTCCATGGCTTTTACAATCTCCCATACTGTCAATCTTCGACGGGCCAACACTATGTCGTGAATTTTTTCAATTGTTTTGTGTGCAGCGACTAGCGACCTCAACTAGACGCCCAGACCGTTCGGTATCTCTCATTTTTGGTACTGAAATGTTTTATGTGTAAAGTTGATTAGAATTTTCTCTTTCAGCATGCAAACACCCAGAAGTTTAATTACTCTGCATGACGTGGAGACGCATAACTGGCTTAATACTGCCTTAATATTGTTTCATTTCTAATGGGAAAAATATAATGTTCCATACATACGACTCCAGAATAGTTATTATTACACTTTCACATTTTTATCTTCCACTTCATAGACGTACGTCACTGACCGAGCCATTTCATTAGTTCCTAAAACGTCCAACGGCAACCTCTCTGGAACCGTTTCTTTTGCGACAAAATTGGTTCCAGGAACGTCCCTGATGGAACATCCAGCGACTTTAGGCGACCTTTGGAATATTTGTTCTATAATCATTTAAGCCGAAAGAAATTTTGATAGACAAGGTTGTTGAGCCTACTCATAATTGAAGAACAAATGAGGTAGACATATTTTAACATAAAATGGGTAAACATTCACATTACACTAGTTTCGATCTCCTTTAATCTCCTGTTATGTGAAGTGACTACCACTTGATAGGTATTTACGCTGTCTTCCAAATATTGTTCTTGTCAATAAAAAATTGTAAAGCAAGTACCAATATTCACACAAGTTCATACTTTTGTAGCTTAACCTCATTAGGCCCTCTTGATTTATCTTTTCCATTTAATTAACATGGGTACAATTAGATCATAAAGGGCTTCTGAAATTTAAAATCGCTTTATTCTTGTAAAATATTTTGTACGCTGTAGAGACATTTGGTCGCAATATAATACTTGAGACATTATTATCTACTTTCTTTTCCTTTTCACAGCAGTTGGAGCTTCAGCGGGCTTCAAAGAGCTCAGCAAGTTCATTTTTGATTCTACTACAGTTTTCTGAAATAAGATACACCCAAATTGTAATAACAATAACCTTTATTCTTGGAATAAGTATCTTGCCATTTTGGCTCAAAGCGTTAAGCAGTAAATGAAATCACGATGTTTTGGAGAAAAGCTCTAGTAACGTTACTACGTGCTTTCATAATCTACGGAAATTTCATATGTCAATTCATGGGCAATACGGAATAAAAATCAGTAAAATGTAAACTACTCACCAAGGTTTCACTACGTCTTACCAACAATTTAACGTCATCTGCTGTTATTGTGGATCGCTTGGCATGCCTAAAATAAAATACATTGCCAAATAGAAAATACATTATGAATTATATATCTACGTGTACTTTTGAAATGCATCCAAGTCACCACCATACAACACCAGTTTCTTATAGACAAGTTCTGCTATTATATCAAGAACATCTTGGTGGAACTCAACCTTGAGGTCTGCTGCTACTTCCTTAGATAGCTTCCTAGCTGTGTTGTAGATAGAGTGTTTTGTTTTCTGTAAGACAAAAAACGTATCAACAGAATTTCTCAATCTCGGTCACAAACGTTAGAGAAGATTATTTGATCATGCTAATAAAATATGTTCAATAAGGACTTCGCAGGATATTGGAAGTTAGTAAAAATTTAAGTTTCGAACTGACAGTCCCCTTTTGAGGTGAAATAAATAAAATAAATTGCACTTAGGTTGGTAAGACGCACACAAAAAATGTGATTTGTAACTTTTGAAAACTGAGGTTATTCATAAAACCTGTAAGCTGTCCCTAGCTAATCAGCTGATTAGCTGGTAAGGTCCAACGTGGGAGAAAACACAATTTAGTTAAGTATCAAAAGGCAGTTAATTTGAAGTTCAATCCTTCCTAACCTCAATTTCCCTGTGCATTCCGTCTTAATGGAAACATATCGTTTAATTACAAAAGTACCTTTATAATACACCTCTAGAAGAAGGTAGATGTAAGCAACTTGATACAAAACAACAGGAGGCGCCAAAAGCCTTTGAAAGGGTGAATGAAGAATCGAGTTGTTGAGTAAAGTTTTATATAAATATATGAAAGCATTTCTGTTATAGGGTCTAAATTGTACTGTCCAAAAGAACCATTTCAGAGGAACGAAAAGCTGCAAGTGAAAAATTACACGAGACCATTTACCATTCGATTTGGAAGCAGGTAAGTAGGTAATAAATCTTCATACTTTGTACACCGGATCAAAATTGTTAGCAGTGGAATAATAAATTCGTATGTAGGGTGTCTCGCTATAAACTGGTTCGCTTCCAACTTTTTTGTGTGACCATTCAGCAAAAAATGCTCCATACAGTCCGATATAAAGTTTTTCATCCAATATTTTTTTATTCATGATATCTCAGAAAAATCAACGCATCCTGAGTTATTGTTACATTTTGCGACAGCGAGCGGTGGGAAAATGTAACAAATACCATTTCGCCAATGCATACTGTCACTGCCTGCGTGTTCGCAGGTGCTAATCATTTCGAAGCAGGATGACACCCTCAATGAGCGCCAGATATGCACTGACCAAAATCCCTCATCTATGTATATGAACATGGAGGTGGAAGCCTTGCGTTAGATGCAGTGTTTCCAAGCCAACCCATGATGCAGTTTTGCCGAATTTGTGCCGATCCTGACCTTTCTTTTCGACCTATAATGAAGCACCGTTAGGACCAATCCGGAATCGATCCTGAACAGATTCGACACAATTCAAAAATGTGTACGTTCAAAATAAAATCATAATGTGGGCGAGGAGAATAAGCTAACGCATATTTTCAACATGCATCTTAATTCAGAGAATTGGTGTATCATATTGACAATGCGGACGACAGCCGCGTCAGCGTTGCTAGACAACGCGATGACGAGCTTCGCTATCGAGCCGACCGCTAACTCTTTCTAACATAATATGGGTCCATACCCACTTCACTCTCGTACACATTGAACTGCAGCAGTCAGACAAATTTGGTTCTCAGCGTAGAGTAGATACATATGATTAAACAACACAAATAAATGACATTTAATTTGAAGTCTGACTAAAAATGTAATGAAAATGAGAATAATAAAACGTACATATTTGGAAACAGAGGTAAAGCCACTATCATTTACACTAAAACATACATTAAAAAAAATTTTATTCGACTGCACTTTTCTGAGACACCCTGAATATAAAATAGACATTGCCTGAAATACTTTATATGTTCAACCCCACAACTATTGTATATAACTATTTTTTCTAAAATGTATGCAAAAATATCATATTTGCTTAATCGATATGTGTATGAGTTGAAAAAGGGAAATGAGATGTTACCTGCACATTGGACATTATCCTGCACAAAACCTTATATCAAATAAACTTGTTGTGTACTCAGACCACACATTTGTTAGAGGTTAAGGGATACAAACAAGCGCTTTCCCGCCAACCCGCCTCTGAACAACATTTATATGGTATTAGGACAATGTGCGCCATCTATCGCTGTTGAGTTAAAGTACAATCGTTACTCGAGACTGGATGCTATCAATACACCGCCATACTGAATTTCTCTCAGGATTCCTGTAGCAGATGGTGTATGAAACGGTTAAAATCAATGAAAGGAGCAGAAGGAATTTTACCAGGCTATCCATAATACACACTATTTCTCATAGATGGTGCAACCTACCGTGTTCAAAGCTCTATTCAAAGTTTTGAAGATTCCAGGTAATTAGTTTCGAAATTACTGAGATGGAGTATATACAAGAATTATGCGTTTCCCTAGTCATAGTCGACACGTTGACCACATTATTACCTTCCACAATCCATACCAGGGGTGTTGATGTTGCTAATTTTTTGACATCTGTAGATGCAGATACGGATGTGGATCATAGTAGGTATTATAACTCGAGAAGATATGCTCACCTGGTGAACGAATTTCGTAGGCACCTAGGCTTTTGCGCATAACGTCACTCGGTGACAAATGTCGGTACGAAATGCATTGTAGATATTAGAGAGTTTTCTTTGCAATATTTAGAATAATATTTTTCTGTGTTTTCAATTTAACATGATGAATTTAGTATTTTATAGAAGTGCCTATAGAATGTTTTATTTATATTTTGGTCTTTTTACAATGCAATTTAATGAAGTATATCACTATAGATAAAAAACATTATAAAATCACCACTTTTGAGATATTAACAATATGACGAGATGAACGGTTCTAAATAATTTCAGACATAATCACTGAAAATGCGCTTGCATCTTTTCAAACAAAGGCATTTATTTTTTTATTATGAAGGGTTTATTGGTTTCAATCATCAATGATTTAGTAATAATTTGTTATATCAACTTTTTTTTACATAAAGAGGGTGGAGAATAAAGCGCAATATATATGACAACTTTATGATTCTGTCCAAAATACGTGTAAATGTTTTTTTAATTTTTATTATGGGTAGGTATATTGTACGAATAAACAGTTTTATTGAGTTTGTTTTAAGATTTTCATCATTTTCCTCTTCTCAATTTAACATCATGTTTTTTTAATTTTTATTATGGGTAGGTATATTGTACGAACAAACAGTTTTATTGAGTTTGTTTTAAGATTTTCATCATTTTCCTCTTCTCAATTTAACATCCGAAGTTTAAAATATATTTCACATCTGAAACAAAGATGCTTGGCATCTGCACTCCATTAACGATTTCAAATAGGTATATTTTAGTCAATTCTAATGACCCTGCGTTGTCGAAAATATGGTCGAGATTAATACATATCATTAGGAATTATTAACTTTGTGTTGCTGCTGACGCTTCCAAACAAATTGTTCGCAAACTTGTTTGCTCTTTGAAAAACTGACGAAAAGCCTTTGTACAGTTCACCATAGTCGAATGTTTCAATGTTTTTCAATTATACTTTGACCAGATCCTTATTGAAACGCTGGATGTCACGCGTGCGAAAGAGATAGAATGATCGCGTGCATCTCGAGCAATAATTATGATTTTTAAAGCTCAGATGGGTTGATTAGAGTACGGATACAAGCATTAAGATTTGAAAAAACTTCGTAGGTACGATGCGATTTACAATAATAAACAAATCGGTGTTTTTGAATTCCCCTCAAAATAATTCATAGTTCAAGTTGAAAATCACATTCAAATGATTTCCAGGGTTGCCTAGGAGTACCTACTCCGTAAGGATAAGCACAAAATCAAGTCGTAGTAATAGTATCTCTATGCGTGGACTCTAAGTGTCTGTAACTAAATTACATATCCGCTTGCTGTTCTCAACATGTCTATCTATCAGGGCGTGTTTCCTAAGCAGCTCTTGCAGTTAGCTATAGTTATAGCCGTGTTCAAGAAAGGCGATCCTCAGATAATCGACCACTACCGAACAATCTCTATTCTATCTGCTATTTCTACAATTTTTGAGAAAATATGCACACTAGAATAACCAGTTTTGCAGACTATTTTCTAATTTACTAAGTAATTCCCACCATGGCTTGAGAAAGTCCAGATCTGTAGAGATGGCGG